GAGCAGCTCCACTCTCAGGATGCATGACAAAATAGGAAGCTTATTTGACCTCAAAATGACACAAATGCACATTTGCAAACAGCTCATACCTACTAAAGCTTTAAGGATGGTGCTTTAGCTCTTGGGCCATGCCTCTCTAATGGAATGACTCACAACTGCTTTGTTTCTTATCCACTTCAAAAACTACAGTAGAAATTGTCTTATTTTCCCATAGCAGCATAACATCACCAATGATAATGAAATCTACACAAAGCAAGTAACATACCAAATGCTGCTAGTGTGGAGATAATTGTATTCTCTCCGACAAGGTGTACACATTGATAATACCCCACACACACACACACCGTCTCCTGTACAATGCAAGAAGTGCCGGACCAACTGGACTGTGGGGGCATATGTGGGCCTGCAGGCCACTCCAAGCAACAGCCTGGTGGACCAAGTTATCACTAGTCGAGCCTGGCTCAGGGAGTAGATGAACTCCCAGAACCCTCTCCAGGTAGTGCTCCAGGTCAGTAATCTACTATCACGGGAGACACCAAGCTGCTGTTTCACACTGTACCAACCCATCTAGGCAAGTACCTATATGGTGCCAAAACTCCAGCATAGACACCCGTATCACAATATTAATTAACAAAAAAAAAAAGCATGAAGCATGTAATCTCTGCAGGAAACAGCCCACAACACTGTCCCTGTAGCCACGGCAGCCGTGGAGGTACACGCCGACTGGACCACACCCCCCCCCCCATCCTCTGAGCTCCACACACTCCCCATCCTCTGAGCCCCCACACCCCCATTCTCTAAGCCCCCACACCCCCATCCTTTGAGCCCCACACACACACCCCATCCTCTGAGCCCCACACCCCCCATCCTCTGAGCCCCACACCCCCCCTCCTCCATCCTCTGAGCCCCACACCCCCCCCCCATCCTCTGAGCCCCACACCCCCATCCTCCATCCTCTGAGCTCCACACACCCCCCATCCTCTGAGCCCCACACCCCCCATCCTCTGACCCCCACACCCCCCATCCTCCATCCTCTGAGCCCCACACCCCCCCATCCTCTGAGCCCCACACCCCCCCATTCTCTGAGCCCCACACACCCCCCATCCTCTGAGCCCCCCCCCCATCCTCTGAGCCCTACACCCCCCCCATCCTCTGAGTCCCACACCCCCCATCCTTCATCCTCTGAGCCCCACACCCCCCCATCCTCTGAGCCCCACACCACCCCATCCTCTGAGCCCCACAACCCCCCCCCCATCCTCTGAGCCCCACACCCCCCATCCTCTGAGCCCCACACACTCCCCATCCTCTGAGCCCCATACCCCCCATCCTCTGAGCTCCACACACACCCCCCCCCATCCTCTGAGCCCCACACCCCCCCCATCCTCTGAGCCCCACACCCCCCCATCCTTTGAGCCCCACACCCCCCCCATCCTCCATCTTCTGAGCCCCACACACTCCCCATCCTCTGAGCCCCACACACACCCCCCATCCTCTGAGCCCCCACACCCCCATCCTCTGAGCCCCACACCCCCCCCCCCATCCTCTGAGCCCCACACACCCCCATCCTCTGAGCCCCACACACCCCCATCCTCTGAGCCCCCACACACCCCCATCCTCTGAGCCACCACACCCCCCATCCTCTGAGCCCCACACCCCCCCCCACACCCCTGGCCAAAACCTCTCCCCCAACAGGAAAAACCACACCCCTCCCCCAGGACACAAGCCCCTCCCCCCCTTACAGTGCAGATTCTGAGGATCACTGTCCCTGAGGCCCGGTCTCTGATGAACACAACCCCCCCCCCACCAAGACAAAAAACACACAATGTACACAAACCCCGCCCATGACAACAACAACCCCTCACAACAACAACAACCCCTCACAACAACAACCCCTCACAACAACAACAACCCCTCACAACAACAACAACCCCTCACAACAACAACAACCCCTCAACAACAACAACAACCCCTCAACAACAACAACAACCCCTCACAACAACAACCCCTCAACAACAACAACAACCCCTCAACAACAACAACAACCCCTCACAACAACAACAACAACCCCTCACAACAACAACAACCCCTCACAACAACAACAACAACCCCTCACAACAACAACAACAACCCCTCACAACAACAACAACAACCCCTAAAAACAACAACACCCCAAATAATCAACAAACACAAATCTGAGTGTACGTATGAGCTGCTCGCCCCCCCCCCCTCATACCCCCACAACCCCTCCCCAGACCCCACACCCTCACAACCCCTCCCCAGGCCATTCACACCCCCACAACCCCCCCACAACACCTCCCCAGGTCCCACACCCCCACAACCCCTCCCCAGGCCCCACAACCCCTCTCCAGACCCCACACCCTCACAACCCCTCCCCAGGCCATACACACCCCCACAACACCTCCCCAGGTCCCACACCCCCACAACCCCTCCCCAGGCCCCACAACCCCACAACCCCCTCATAACAACACATAAGACACGGTGTGTATGGAGGAGCAACAATCGATGACTGCAGTTCTCCCTGGCCTCTCCCTGCTCCCTCACCTCTCCCTGGCCCTCACCTCACCCTGCCTCACCCCCACCTCACCTCAGGCCGCCTCGCTCCCTCATCACCTCCTCCTCACGCCACAAAAACCGCCCCAAAATGAGGAATAAATTTGTGAGTGTCTGAGAGACGCCGCCGAGGTAAACACTGCGGTGCTGCCATCTGTTGGTGGCGCCTGGCACTACGTCCCTCCTGTGTCACCCTGTGTCACCCTTGTTGGTGGCGCCTGGCACTACGTCCCTCCTGTGTCACCCTGTGTCACCCTTGTTGGTGGCGCCTGGCACTACGTCCCTCCTGTGTCACCCTGTGTCACCCTTGTTGGTGGCGCCTGGCACTACGGCCCTCCTGTGTCACCCTGTGTCACCCTTGTTGGTGGCGCCTGGCACTACGTCCCTCCTGTGTCACCCTGTGTCACCCTTGTTGGTGGCGCCTGGCACTACGGCCCTCCTGTGTCACCCTGTGTCACCCTTGCTGGTGGCGCCTGGCACTACGTCCCTCCTGTGTCACCCTTGTTGGTGGCACCTGGCACTACGTCCCTCCTGTGTCACCCTTGTTGGTGGCGCCTGGATTAACCTAGACGTGTAGAAATCACTATAGAATGCTGGATCAGGACATGGCCCCAAATTATTTTCTTTATTATTATTATTAATATTAATAAACCCCATGGACTCTCCTACCCGCTGATGCCCTAACCACAAAAACAACACCTGAGGATGTTAGCGTTAACGGTGGGTGCAGCACTTCCCGCGGTGTAGTGGTAAGACACTCGCCTGGCGTTCCGCGAGCGCTTTGTCCTGGGATCGAATCCTGGCCGGGGAGGATTTACTGGGAGCAAATCCTTAACTGTAGCCTCTGTTTACCCAACAATAAAATGAGTTCCTGGTTGTTAAACGATTTGGCCCGGGGAACATAGGATTAAGGACCTGCCCGAAACGCCTCGCGTACTAGTGGCTGTACAAGAATGTAAGAACTCTTGTATAAATAAATAAATAGTAGTTGTGGCTATAGACATAGTGTGTACCTCTGTAGACGCCTAACATCCTGTTTGTAACTCGTCTTGTATGTGTGTACTTTTACCGGATTAACCCCTGCACTGCGCACCTGCTTTTGACAAAAAAAAATTATAGTGCAATTATAAGGACATATTTCTGATCAGGGAGAAAAAAGACGCCAGCAGTATGGGGGCTTATTTATTAAGCAGTAGAATACAAGTAAGTAAATTTCTGTAGAACATGTAAATGGGGCGGCTATAAGCGAGTACCTGACAAATGCTATAACATATACGTGGCTAAGTCTAAGTACAGCTAAATAAAAAAATATAAAAAATTAAAATGTTTATTCAGGTAAAGTACATACATACAAGGTGTGACACAAACATTGATGGATTTATAGATAGAGCTAGTACATACAATGCCTAAAGCCACTGTTACGCAAAGCGTTTCGGGCAGGAAAAACACTAAAGACTAAAACTTAATACTAATTGAGATTAAAGTATAAATTGTGTTGAGAAAATATAAAAATAAAAATGGGGGGGAACATGGCAGAAAAATAGCAAATAAACAATTTGATCGACAAACATCATTGTTAAAAATAAGAGACATGTGTTAACATTTAGGGGTGAGGTAGGTTACAGGGAGTTAATTAGGTAGTGCTTAGTATTTATCTTAAACTTGATATGACTATGAATAATATAAACTTAATATGAACACCCGTAGTAACATTTAACAAAGTCTGCTTATACCCAAATAACAAGAAAAATCAAAATCTGCAGAACACCAAATAAGCTTATTGTCTAGGAGTAAAGTATAAGTCAAATGTATAACATAAGTGAAATAGACAATCAGGACATGTAAAGTAAATATAATGGGAGTAAACAACGTAACATTTAATAATGAAGCCTGGCTAAGAGACCAGATAAGACAATGTTAAACCCAATAGTTGTGTTAATACGGAAATTAATCAATGCGTGCGGAATTTACATAGAGACTGGGAAATGCCTGATGTTAAATTGGAGGAGAAATTAACTCAGGCCATGAGACCGTGCCGCCAAGGAGTAAGGATATAAGAATTCCCGGACTAAAGGTAGAGCTTACTAGTACCTAGAATGCCGGCCTGTGCTCCCTGCACAGCGCCTGTTGAACGCGCTGCGCAAGTGTCTTTTTCCCCATCAGAAACCCTTCGCTTTCCCATGTAAAGCAGTGGCCATTTTTTGTTCTTTGTATAAATGTTCGGAGAGTGTTAATGTCAAAATATTTCCAAACTCAACTATTTTCATTTCAAAACAAAAAGATGAAAACATTAAAAAAATAACTAAAATATAACGTAATTAAAAAAAATGGACTACTCTCAAAACGTCATTTGTTGGCCGGCGCAGTTAAATCAATTAAGCATTTGATTTGGTTTTGAGTTTAAGAATCCTAATAAAATTAATTCTCAGGAGCAAAATAGGACCTTCGACAAGTCGCCGGCGTCTTGTGCACGTCGAAGCCACTCGGGAGATTGAGGCCCTCAGGCGGCAGGTAAATTTTGGTAATATGAATATAAACAATGAATTGTTAAGGGTATTAGATAATTGTTAATGTCCCCCATAGTTGACAGTACACTTTCTTTAAAGGAATCAATAGTAGAAAACGGACCCAGTTGATACATCATTGAAGGTACACTGTACTAGATATAAGCTTAGATTTTTATTATTTGTTTATATATATACAAGAGTTGTTACATGGTTGTTAAGCCACCAGCACGCACAGCGCTTCGGGAAGGGCATTTTATTTTTTGTTAATGTGCTTCCTGATTGTGAGGTTATGGGGATTGAATACATTCCCTTGACCTGCATCAACCACTTGTGAAGGTATGAGGGTCCCTGTACTACAGTCGGGTTCCTTCTCGACTTACAATTGAGAACGTTCGAATCCCGCCCGTGCAAAAATGGTTGGGCGTGTTTCCTATCACCTCATGCACCTGTTCACCTAGCAGTAAATAAGAGCCTCAACTTCAGCACCCACATACAACACATTTATTTATTTTTTTAAATTTGTTACTTATTTATTTATATATACAAGAAGGTACATTGTGGGTCAACAGAGTCCACTAGCACACAGAGCGTTCCGGGCAAGTCCACTAGCACACAGAGCGTTCCGGGCAAGTCCACTAGCACACAGAGCGTTCCGGGCAAGTCCACTAGCACACAGAGCGTTCCGGGCAAGTCCACTAGCACACAGAGCGTTCCGGGCAAGTCCACTAGCACACAGAGCGTTCCGGGCAAGTCCACTAGCACACAGAGCGTTCCGGGCAAGTCCACTAGCACACAGAGCGTTCCGGGCAAGTCCACTAGCACACAGAGCGTTCCGGGCAAGTCCACTAGCACACAGAGCGTTCCGGGCAAGTCCACTAGCACACAGAGCGTTCCGGGCAAGTCCACTAGCACACAGAGCGTTCCGGGCAAGTCCACTAGCACACAGAGCGTTCCGGGCAAGTCCACTAGCACACAGAGCGTTCCGGGCAAGTCCACAAGCACACAGAGCGTTCCGGGCAAGTCCACTAGCACACAGAGCGTTCCGGGCAAGTCCACTAGCACACAGAGCGTTCCGGGCAAGTCCACTAGCACACAGAGCGTTCCGGGCAAGTCCACTAGCACACAGAGCGTTCCGGGCAAGTCCACTAGCACACAGAGCGTTCCGGGCAAGTCCACTAGCACACAGAGCGTTCCGGGCAAGTCCACTAGCACACAGAGCGTTCCGGGCAAGTCCACTAGCACACAGAGCGTTCCGGGCAAGTCCTTAAACTGACCTTATAGCAAGTCCTTAAACTGACCTTAAAGCAAGTCCTTAATCTGACCTTATAGCAAGTCCTTAAACTGACCTTAAAGCAAGTCCTTAATCTGACCTTATAGCAAGTCCTTAAACTGACCTTATAGCAAGTCCTTAATCTGACCTTATAGCAAGTCCTTAAACTGACCTTATAGCAAGTCCTTAAACTGACCTTATAGCAAGTCCTTAAACTGACCTTATAGCAAGTCCTTAAACTGACCTTATAGCAAGTCCTTAAACTGACCTTATAGCAAGTCCTTAAACTGACCTTATAGCAAGTCCTTAAACTGACCTTATAGCAAGTCCTTAAACTGACCTTATAGCAAGTCCTTAAACTGACCTTATAGCAAGTCCTTAAACTGACCTTATAGCAAGTCCTTAAACTGACCTTATAGCAAGTCCTTAAACTGACCTTATAGCAAGTCCTTAAACTGACCTTATAGCAAGTCCTTAAACTGACCTTATAGCAAGTCCTTAAACTGACCTTATAGCAAGTCCGTAAACTGACCTTATAGCAAGTCCTTAAACTGACCTTATAGCAAGTCCTTAAACTGACCTTATAGCAAGTCCTTAAACTGACCTTATAGCAAGTCCTTAAACTGACCTTATAGCAAGTCCTTAAACTGACCTTATAGCAAGTCCTTAAACTGACCTTATAGCAAGTCCTTAAACTGACCTTATAGCAAGTCCTTAAACTGACCTTATAGCAAGTCCTTAAACTGACCTTATAGCAAGTCCTTAAACTGACCTTATAGCAAGTCCTTAAACTGACCTTATAGCAAGTCCTTAAACTGACCTTATAGCAAGTCCTTAATCTGACCTTATAGCAAGTCCTTAATCTGACCTTATAGCAAGTCCTTAAACTGACCTTAAAGCAAGTCCTTAAACTGACCATAAAGCAAGTCCTTAAACTGACCTTATAGCAAGTCCTTAAACTGACCTTAAAGCAAGTCCTTAATCTGACCTTATAGCAAGTCCTTAAACTGACCTTAAAGCAAGTCCTTAAACTGACCTTATAGCAAGTCCTTAAACTGACCTTAAAGCAAGTCCTTAATCTGACCTTATAGCAAGTCCTTAAACTGACCTTAAAGCAAGTCCTTAAACTGACCTTATAGCAAGTCCTTAAACTGACCTTAAAGCAAGTCCTTAATCTGACCTTATAGCAAGTCCTTAAACTGACCTTAAAGCAAGTCCTTAAACTGACCATAAAGCAAGTCCTTAAACTGACCTTATAGCAAGTCCTTAAACTGACCTTAAAGCAAGTCCTTAATCTGACCTTATAGCAAGTCCTTAAACTGACCATAAAGCAAGTCCTTAAACTGACCTTATAGCAAGTCCTTAAACTGACCTTAAAGCAAGTCCTTAATCTGACCTTATAGCAAGTCCTTAAACTGACCTTAAAGCAAGTCCTTAAACTGATCATTTGTAGATAATTAACAGTAAAATTCTCAACAAAATGTTTACAGGTACTTTACAGCTTTACAAGTATAAATGATTTTAAGTAGAATAAATACAGTAACATTGAAAAAGAAAAAAACAAAGTTTACAGGAACGTTGCAAGAATTTTTGACACAAAAGCAGATCAGAATAACACACAATAATAACAAGATACAATAATGAACAAGGATTAATACGTACAGTTAGGAAAACATCTCAGGGTTATACAATGATTCACTGAAGCATAATATGAGGATCATTACAAGGTATAATGCTATAGAATATGCACTCAATACAACAACCATGATATCAGATGCTATATGAAACCTTGGGGGGGTGAGTGTGTTCCTAGGGGGGTGAGAGTGTTCCTAGGGGGGTGAGAGTGTTCCTAGAGGGGGTGAGAGTGTTCCTAGGGGGGTGAGAGTGTTCCTAGGGGGGGGGGGGTGAGAGTGTTCCTAGGGGGGTGAGAGTGTTCTTAGGGGGGGGGGTGAGAGTGTTCCTAGGGGGGTGAGAGTGTTCTTAGGGGGGGGGTGAGAGTGTTCCTAGGGGGGTGAGAGTGCTCCTAGGGGGGGGGGGTGAGAGTGTTCCTAGGGGGGTGAGAGTGTTCCTAGGGGGGGTGAGAGTGTTCCTAGGGGGGGTGAGTGTTCCTAGGGGGGTGAGAGTGTTCCTAGGGGGGTGAGAGTGTTCCTAGAGGGGGGTGAGAGTGTTCCTAGAGGGGGGTGAGTGTGTTCCTAGGGGGGTGAGAGTGTTCCTAGGGGGGTGAGAGTGCTCCTAGGGGGGGGGTGAGAGTGTTCCTAGGGGGGGTGAGAGTGTTCCTAGGGGGGTGAGAGTGCTCCTAGGGGGGGGGGGTGAGAGTGTTCCTAGGGGGGTGAGAGTGTTCCTAGGGGGGGTGAGAGTGTTCCTAGGGGGGGTGAGAGTGTTCCTAGGGGGGGTGAGAGTGTTCCTAGGGGGGTGAGAGTGTTCCTAGGGGGGTGAGAGTGTTCCTAGGGGGGTGAGAGTGTTCCTAGAGGGGGTGAGAGTGTTCCTAGAGGGGGGTGAGTGTGTTCCTAGGGGGGTGAGAGTGTTCCTAGGGGGGGTGAGAGTGTTCCTAGGGGGGGTGAGAGTGTTCCTAGGGGGGTGAGAGTGTTCCTAGGGGGGTGAGAGTGTTCCTAGAGGGGGGTGAGAGTGTTCCTAGAGGGGGGTGAGTGTGTTCCTAGGGGGGTGAGAGTGTTCCTAGGGGGGGTGAGAGTGTTCCTAGGGGGGTGAGTGTGTTCCTAGGGGGTGAGAGTGTTCCTAGGGGGGTGAGAGTGTTCCTAGGGGGGTGAGAGTGTTCCTAGGGGGGTGAGAGTGTTCCTAGGGGGGTGAGAGTGTTCCTAGGGGGGTGAGAGTGTTCCTAGGGGGGGTGAGAGTGTTCCTAGGGGGGTGAGAGTGTTCCTAGGGGGGTGAGAGTGTTCCTAGGGGGGTGAGAGTGTTCCTAGGGGGGTGAGAGTGTTCCTAGAGGGGGGTGAGAGTGTTCCTAGAGGGGGGTGAGTGTGTTCCTAGGGGGGTGAGAGTGTTCCTAGGGGGGTGAGAGTGCTCCTAGGGGGGGGGTGAGAGTGTTCCTAGGGGGGGTGAGAGTGTTCCTAGGGGGGTGAGAGTGCTCCTAGGGGGGGGTGAGAGTGTTCCTAGGGGGGTGAGAGTGTTCCTAGGGGGGGGTGAGAGTGTTCCTAGGGGGGGTGAGAGTGTTCCTAGGGGGGGTGAGAGTGTTCCTAGGGGGGTGAGAGTGTTCCTAGGGGGGTGAGAGTGTTCCTAGGGGGGTGAGAGTGTTCCTAGAGGGGGGTGAGAGTGTTCCTAGAGGGGGGTGAGTGTGTTCCTAGGGGGGTGAGAGTGTTCCTAGGGGGGGTGAGAGTGTTCCTAGGGGGGGTGAGAGTGTTCCTAGGGGGGTGAGTGTTCCTAGAGGGGGGTGAGAGTGTTCCTAGAGGGGGGTGAGAGTGTTCCTAGAGGGGGGTGAGAGTGTTCCTAGGGGGTGAGAGTGTTCCTAGGGGGGTGAGAGTGTTCCTAGGGGGGTGAGTGTGTTCCTAGGGGGTGAGAGTGTTCCTAGGGGGGTGAGAGTGTTCCTAGGGGGGGTGAGAGTGTTCCTAGGGGGGTGAGAGTGTTCCTAGGGGGGTGAGAGTGTTCCTAGGGGGGTGAGAGTGTTCCTAGGGGGGGTGAGAGTGTTCCTAGGGGGGGTGAGAGTGTTCCTAGGGGGGTGAGAGTGTTCCTAGGGGGGTGAGAGTGTTCCTAGGGGGGTGAGAGTGTTCCTAGGGGGGTGAGAGTGTTCCTAGGGGGGTGAGTGTTCCTAGGGGGGTGAGTGTTCCTAGGGGGGTGAGTGTTCCTAGGGGGGTGAGTGTTCCTAGGGGGGTGAGTGTTCCTAGGGGGGGTGAGAGTGTTCCTAGGGGGGGGTGAGAGTGTTCCTAGGGGGGTGAGAGTGTTCCTAGGGGGAGTGAGAGTGTTCCTAGGGGGAGTGAGAGTGTTCCTAGGGGGGGTGAGAGTGTTCCTAGGGGGAGTGAGAGTGTTCCTAGGGGGGTGAGAGTGTTCCAAGGGGGGTGAGAGTGTTCCTAGGGGGAGTGAGAGTGTTCCTAGGGGGGGGTGAGAGTGTTCCTAGGGGGAGTGAGAGTGTTCCTAGGGGGGGGTGAGAGTGTTCCTAGGGGGAGTGAGAATGTTCCTAGGGGGGGGTGAGAGTGTTCCTAGGGGGGGTGAGAGTGTTCCTAGGGGGGGTGAGAGTGTTCCTAGGGGGGGGGTGAGAGTGTTCCTAGGGGGGTGAGAGTGTTCCTAGGGGGGTGAGAGTGTTCCTAGGGGGGTGAGAGTGTTCCTAGGGGGGGTGAGAGTGTTCCTAGGGGGGTGAGAGTGTTCCTAGGGGGGTGAGAGTGTTCCTAGGGGGGTGAGAGTGTTCCTAGGGGGGTGAGAGTGTTCCTAGGGGGGTGAGAGTGTTCCTAGGGGGAGTGAGTGATTGTGCTCACAACACATCACAGAGACCTCAGGGATTAGTTTAACATGTGACTGTCAGTATCGTCAGTTCCATGAAGCGAAGCTGCCGGGGCCCAGGAGCTGAGATCGGACTCAACGTGCACATCTAGGTGAGCACATTAATGTGAGCAAACAGCCATTACCTGTGGTTGCGTTGTTCCGCCGTTGGCAACTTCCCTCAACTTATCGTAATGGACCATTACCAGCACGTTAATAGACAGTTATAATGTACGACACTTGTTGAGGTCTTGTTTACTGTGTACCCTTGTCAGTCTCCCTCCCCATCACCCCTTCCCCGTGACGCACGCACGCACGCTCACACACACACACACACACCTGAAAAGAGAGCTGACAGCAGCAAATGAGGAGATTAGAGCCCTCAAAGAGAATGGTATCGAGGCTGAGACTCAGAAAATCATCCAGGGAGAAGGTGGTAATAGTTTTTTGGATGAGAATGCCACAATAAAAGCAACATTTGCAGAAATGCTAAAAAAAAATAATTCTGAAGTAATGACTGCAGTGGTGGAGGTGGCCATGAAAGCACCCACCTCACAGGAGGCGGCACGCTCCACTAGCCA